ACAAGCCATCTGTCAGTCATTTCAGAGTTTTTGGCTACCCTTTCACTCTTCTCCACTTGGAATCCAATCCCAAATTCAATGCCAAAGCCGATGACTGTTATTTTGTTGGATATGCTGCTCGAACTGATTACAGGGTTTACAATAAGAAGACTAAATAGATTGTAGAATCATTTGATGTTCGTTGGCTTGAGGAAAATAAGACAGATGCTAGAGTGGGTCCTGACTGGTTGTTTGACTACTCATCTCTTTTCAAATCATTCAATGTGTCTTCAGATAATTAAGAAGGATCTACTTCCAATTCGAAGATTCCAAGTGATGACGAAGAAGATGAAGTTGTTTATCGACCTCCATTGATTTCCACTAATCCTCCCTCGGTACCTTCTACTCTTTTTGAATCTTCTGAATCTCCTCAACAACCTTCTCCTGATGCCATTGCTACTCCCTTAACTCCAATAGAAAAAGAGTTCATGAATCACGAGACTTCCGTTGTAACTTCAACTTTGATGGAACTTCTTTTTCCAGAAAATATTACAGAAGAGTTTGTAGCGGATTCTTCTAACGAACCTTTTTCATCCTCTACAGACCATACAACAAATGATGGAGCGGTTAACATTCATAATCTTCCTGTTTCCGTCAATGATATTAGTTATCAGATCCCTTCACGCATTCAGCGAGATCATCCAATAGAGAACGTCATTGGTCAGTTGGGCGACGGGGTTCAAACGAGAAGTAAAAGTGGGGATGTAAATACATGTCTATACTCTTGCTTCATATCTCAAATAGAACCTAAATTTGTTGAGATGGCTCTGAATGAGCCCAACTGGGTTGAATCCATGCATGATGAATTAAATCAATTTGAGAAACTCGGAGTCTGGAAATTGGTGGAACTACCAAAAGGAAAGAAATCTCTTGATACTCGTTGGGTATTTCGAAATAAACAAGACGATTCAGGTGTCATTGTGCGCAACAAGGCAAGATTGGTGGTTCGAGGGTTTCAACAGGTTAAGGGTCTTGACTATACATAAGTTTATGCTCCGGTTGCTCGTTTGGAAGTCATTCGTATCTTCCTTGCTTATGCTTCCTACATGAATTTTACTGTATACCAAATGGACGTCAAGACAGCTTTCTTGTATAGCAAAGTCAAGGAGGAGATTTACGTTGACCAACCACCGCGTTTTGTTATTTCTTCTCTTCCAAACCATGTTTACAAATTAGACAAAGCTTTGTACGGATTGCATCAAGCTCCGCGAGCTTGGTATGCTACTCTTACTCAGCATTTACTCAATCACGGCTATTCCCGAGGCTCCATTGATCAAACCTTATTTCTCAAGCATGTTGGTCCAGATCAAATTCTCGTTCAAATTTATGTGGATGACATCATTTTTGGGTCGACAAGCCAACAAATTTGCAAGGAGTTTGAAGTGGTGATGAAGAAGCGTTTTGAGATGAGCTCTCTTGGGGAAATGACAACGTTTTTGGGGCTTCAGGTTCAAAAATCTTCAATCGGAATCCTTATTCATCAGGCAAAATATGTGGCAGATGTACTGGAGAAGTTCGGGTTTCAAGACGCAAAACCTACTCTTACGCCTATGGCAGAACGGCCTCTTCTGACTCCTGATCTTGAGGGTGAATCCGTAGATCAAACTCATTATCGATCAATGATCGGATCACTCATGTATCTTACTACTAGTTGTCCAGATGTCATGTTTGCGGTCTGTCAATGTGCTCGCTACCAGGCTAATCCTAAACTCTCTCATTTAATTGCTGTTAAAAGGATTTTTCGGTATCTCAAAGGGTGCCCAAAACTGGGTCTTTGGTATCCGAAAAGTCCCGAATTTGATCTTTATGCTTTTGCAGATAGCAATTATGGCGGGTGTGAGCTTGATAGAAAATCGACTTCAGGAGGATGCCAATTTCTGGGAGATAGATTGGTGTCATGGCAGTGCAAGAAGCAGCACACAGTCTCAACCTCAACAACAGAAGCATAATATGTTGCTGCATCTGCTTGTTGTTCTCAAGTCATCTGGATCCAACATCAATTGTTGGACTACGGTTTGAATTTTCAAGAAACCCCTATTTTTTGTGACAATGAGGCTGCGATTCAAATTGCCAAAAATCCGGTCTTGCACTCAAAAACCAGGCACATCGACATTAAAATACATTTTATTCGAGAATGTTATGAACGTTTCCTTATTCGGCTAGAACAAGTCCACTCTGATAATAATGTAGCAGATCTGTTCACCAAGCCTTTTAACAAAGCTCGATTCGATGTGCTGGTTAATTTTCTAAAAATGATTCGTTTTGAGGATTAATTTTAAAAAAAAAATGATAAAAACCCAAAAATGATAAAAAAAATAATAATTAAAAATGAGAAAAACCAAAAACATTAGAAAACTAGAAAAATTAAAAAAAAAATTATTAGAAAATCAGAAAATAAAATTTATTATGCTTGAGGGAGATGTTATTGGGAAGTGATATGATCATATGATAACAGGCAACCTAAGTCTGTGTAACGTACACAAAGTTGAAGGGTCTATGCTCTGATTTGATGTGTCGGTAGGCACGAAAGATTCTAAACGGACATGACTAGGCAGAATTGAACTTAGGAAATCAAATGACTTGACAAATCTTGACCTAGATAGTTCCGTTTAGCCTGACAATACGACGCTTGGATAGGTTGAGCAGGGAGATATATACGGGAATCTACTCGTCACATTAATTGAATCCGTACTTGGAACCATGGTTTAACTTTGCCTCGATGTGCGGATTCTATCCTTAATTCCGGTTGGATGGGGCGACTGGTAAATTCCGATAAATTAGGTCTGTAAATTATCATTTTCTTTCTTTCCCTCTGTTAGTCATATGTTGTCTCCTTTGCGCGATCTCTAATCCGACCTGGTACACAACATATGCAAGTCTATTTCTCTGCAAGCTATATATATATATATATATATATATGTGTGTGTGTGTGTGTGTGTGTGTGTGTGTGTGTGTGAAATGTGTGAAAAACTTCTTATCTGTTAGCCATATGCTGTCTCCTTTGTGCGACTTCTAATCCGACCTGGTACACAGCATATGCAACCTTCTTATTCTCAACCCCTCTGAAGAACTCTGTATCTCTTCTCTCTCTGAATGGTTTTCTGCTCACCCGGTGTAAGGAGTACTTTGGAAGTTCTTGATGGCTGGGGCATATCAGAAAGCAGGAAACACATTCTAGAACACTTAAAATTGAACATATACAGATTGTCTTTAGATCTCGCTGCTCAATTTAGGTGGACAACAATATCCCTGGTCGTCGTTAGCTGAATGGTCCTTAAGCTATAGTATCTAGAAACTTAGGATCAGATATAATATCTAGGAACTCAGGATCACTTTGTCTTATCATTTGCAATACGTCCTATTTTTGTCACAATTTTTCGTGCTTAAGTGGACAACAATACCGACAATCGACCAGACAAAGATGTGAATATGAAATGTACCGACAAGCAGATAACGGTCGTCTAAAAACTTTGATCCCTAATCCTCAACAGATTAAAGGAATTTATAAAGGTTTAAATTGATTCTTGTCGATTAATAAATTTTTAAAATTTTATTTTATTTTATTTTTATTTTTGTTAATCCTCAAAACAATTTCTTAAGAAAATTGTGTGCAAAAAGGGGTTTTAGAATAAATGTTTAAAAGAAAAGGGGGAGAATGTGTAAATTCTATGAATATATATATATATATATATATATATATATATATATATATATATATATATATATATATAGTGTGTGTGTGTGTGTGTGCGGTGAGGCTTTTTCACCATCATTTACTGTTGCCTCAACCGCACACACATACTTACTCTCTCAATTTCTTTGGAAGTTTCCTTCAAGTTTCAGTAAAAACAAGCTCGAACTCGGTAATTCTTATGTGTGCGGTTGAATTTTTCATTTTTTAAAAAAAAAATTATCCATGGTTTGCTGTTTGATTTTAATAAAGATGTTTATGTGGCCGCACACATGCGTGTGCGGCTGACCGTGTGCGGCCGCACACATGCGTGTGCTGCTGACCGTGTGCTGCCACACAAGCGTGTGCGGCTGACCATGTGCTGCCACACAAGCGTGTGCGGCTGACCGTGTGCGGTAACATGATTTTATGAATGTGCAGCTGAACATTTTCTTGTTGCCCTAATTTTTCATGTGTTTACTTTCAGATTAAAATGGGAGACCAGGAATTTGCTAAAGCTCACAACTCTGCAATTTTTCTTGAAGACCTTCCTGCAACCCACAGAGACATGAAATTGATTGTGGATGGATTGAAGAAATCATGTTTAGTTCATGCCTTAACAACTAGTCCTGCTATCTACCAGAGTTTGATCAAAGAATTTTGGAGAAATGCTGTCATAAAGAAAAATGGTCAGGGTGACAAATTTGTTGAAGCAACAATTGAAGAAAAGAAAATTCAAGTAACGGAGAGCATCATAAGAGAATCCCTTCAAATATCAGACAAACCTGAGTATACCATGGAGATCAATATTCATCAGACTCAGGATGTCTTGGAGCATATGGGTTATGAGGGAACATTTCCCCCTACAATCAAGAAGTTTCTTCCTCCGTGTTGGAAGTATTTGGCTCATGTGTTCGTGAGCTGTATTTCCGGCAGGAGATCTGGAGCTAATGAGATTTCTCTTGCTAACACTGGTGCAATTGCAACATTGGCCGCAGGTTTTGAGTTTAATTTCTCAAAATTCATTCTGAATGAAATGGTCCTGAATCTTGAAGGGAACAAAAGAGATAAATTCTGGATGTATCCAAGATTTCTGCAAATCATTCTCAACTTGAATCACGCCGAGCTGCAGAGAGGAAATGATGTCTTAGATTTTAAATCCATTGGTCCAAGTGCTTTTGGGCTAATGAAACAGAAGAGAGGTGGGAAATTTGTTTTTGAAGGAAAATTCCCATTGATAAAATTTGGAATCTTTAAAGAAGATGATATCGATGAATCGGAAGAACAATCGATGCCAATGGAAAATGAAGATATTCATCACTCTCCCTCCGAGCCTGAAGTGGAGGAGATTCATGATTCTCCCAGAGCATGTGTAGCTAATGAACATGATTATCAGAAAACAAATGATTCAAAGTCTTCTCGAGGTGATGATGACGATGATAATTATGATGGCGTACAGTTTTTGAATGAATTCGACTTTACTGGAATTAACGATGACATTCCAACCAACATAGAGTTTGATCTCAATGATGAAGACTTTGATCCTTTTCTCAGTATCACCAGCAGCAGTGCAAATAAAGTCAATGAAGTTGTTTCTCTAGCAACCAAGACTAGAGCTGAAGAAGATTCTCTCAAAATTCTATTCTCCACCTCAAAGCCCTTGGAGGTCACAACAAGCCAAGGGGATGTGACATCAGAGATTCCTCCCTCTGTGTCATTTGTCTCAACATCAGCTCCAATCATTTCCGACTTATCTGAACCTCAGACTTCTCATACTTCCTTAAGAACAAGCCAATCTCTTGAAAGTCTGGATATTCTCGCTGTAAAAAATGCTCCTCAAGTTACCTCAACAATCACTGCAACCTTTGCTCACTCTCCTCCAAAGCAGTCTAATGAAGGTCCAAGCACAATGTTCAAGACTGGTGGATCCTCTTATGTTCCAGATTATTCTCCAACTCGACCTTCTCTAGATGAAGCTTCTATCAGACTAGTAAGACATTTGGCTCAATCAAGTCCAACCTCTTAACGCGGGAAAGGAATATCATTTAACGAGGGTTGGAGAGATGATGACAAATTCACCTCATCTGATCTTCGAGAGGAAGTTGGAGTTCTCCGCCAACAGCTCATTGAAAAATCAATTCAAATGGATCAACTTTCTGCATATGTCTTGGAGCTCAGGGCAAAGGATGAAGAAAAGACCAAACAAATCAAAGATTTACAAACAAATCTTGGATCCGTTCTAGCCAGTTATCTTAATCTCAAAAACGTATTGTATGATGCTTTTGGTGAAAAAGTTAAAGCTCTCTTGCAACAGCCTCATGGAGTAGATGATCCTCCTTCAGCTCAATCACCTCATGCAACTGATGATCTTCATGTTGACCCACCTGCTCCAAGATCAACTATCATTGTAGACAGATTTGAAAAAGAACCACAAGGAAGCAGAGCTAGAATCACAATTAAACAGGGCAAAAGAGTTGTGACTGCAAACCAATGCGAGGGACTTATGTTTATGAAAAATTCAAATGAAAATCGCAAAGCAAAAGAACCTGCCCTGACTGTAACAGATTTGAAAAAGAGAAATTTTGGCAATAAGTATGGTGACAGATCTGGTAACCGTATGTGGGCTTTCGATCCAGAAATGAATTTGTGGGTGGTGAAGCGAAATTCAGGAATTTCTGAATGTTACAAAAGCACCCATGATTTCAATTCTTGGACTAAGACGGATCTAGCAGAATTATCTAGAGTTCCCTTTCACAATCCCTCGCAAGATCCAAGTGCTTAAAATTTTAAAAGGTTCCTTAATAGGCAGGTCAAAGAAAATTTTCCCAGCATGAAGACTGCCAAAGCCCTTTATCGAAAGGATAAGGATGTTATCGACCCAGAAACATGCAAAGCTATGAAGATTATATTATGGCTTGCTACAAAGAAGCAAAAAGAAATTCCAATCCCTCATCATTTCCAGGAGGGATATCTTGACAATATGGAATTTTGGGCATACGATGACGAAACTGCAACTGCTGCCATCAAATTCAAGGATCAAGAACATGTTTTGAGGCTGATCAATGCAAAAGATCTTCTTCGTTTTCGAGAAAGGGACATACGAACTCTGGCTCATCACTAGATAATCTGTAGAAAAGAAGTAATGGAAGCTGCCGCTAAAGAATACACTGCAATGATTGCTACAATCATAAATGGAAGGTTGTGGATGGATTCAATGGGGAGATCAGATCTGAGGCTGTTTGAGAAGCCTGATGAGGAGCCAAAGGAATAACGACAAGACTATGCTAGTCTCAAACCAAGGGGGAGACTGAAAGAACATAATTTGTGGTTTGAGCTAGGCATCATTTTGTATAGTTAATTGAGTCATTTTGCAGTGTTTTGTTTATTGTCATGTAATGTGTGCTGCCACACATGTGTGTGCGGCCGCACACTCTTGTGCTGGTAGGAGGAGTACTATAAATAACATCTGAGGTGTGTCAGTCTATACTTTTTGGGCTAGAGTATGTGATGTATGTGTGTGTTTTCCCAAGGTGTACCTGACATTTATATGATTTAAATGTGTGCATGCTTGATTCAATTTCTTCTTCTTCTCAATCTAAATCTAATTGCAATTAACTTCATTGATTACTAAATTGGATCCTTAATTTTGGGGACTTACACTTTATGAAGCTTTGGGCCTCCTCCTTGTCCAAAACCTTGTTCTAAGGCTAGTTATGAGTGTTTTAGCTTCTTGGAGCCTTGCATGCACGTAAAGTTAGCAACTTTATGTGATAAATACACCATAGGAGCCTATATCTAGAATTTGGATATTTGGTTTCACTTAAAAGCATCTAAAGGAGAAATGGAGTGAAGGAACATGACGAGTTGCATAGTCAACTCGACGAGTTGAATGGGGATTTCCCGCTCTCTCGATTCTTCTTGAACTCGACGAGTTACAGAGTTAACTCGACGATTTAGTTAGGGTTTTCCCGACCTTCTGGATACCGTATGTACTCGACGAGTTGTGTCGAAAATCAGTGAGTCGACTGGGGTTTTCATGATTTCTTGAGTTTTGAAGGAACTCGACGAGTAAGTTGTTGGATTAGTGTCTAAGTGCATAACTATTTTGGTATGTACTTGACCCGATGGTGCATGGTCCTTTTGGGTTGCCTTCTCCAAAGAAACTTGATAGGATGAATTATGGATAGAGAAGATTAATTATGATTTATTAATATATTATGAGAATAATATATTAAAGGAGAAATCATAATGTTTAATTAATATTAGTCAAGAATTAATTGATAATTAATTTTGTGGCTAAAAGAGATTAATTAAACTTAAGGGACTGGAACTGTAATTATAATATAAGTGCATTTGGAATATGGATTACCTTGGAATAATAGGTTGGACGAATTCTATGGGGAAACCCATTAGAAATCGTCCAAGGGTTATTCTAAAAGGGTCTATGGGCTGCTTAGGGCTTAAGCAGTCAAATTAGGGTTTCCTGGTTGAAAACCCTAATAGCCTACATATATATATAGTACCCTTAAGCCCCAAAAACGTGGCTAAGAGTTCCATTTGGGTTTCTGGACATTTTGGGCAACCTCCTCTCTCCTTATTCTTCATCCTCTTGCTCTTGGTGTTTGTGAGCCATTAGAGGAGTGACACTTGTGACTCTAAGCTTTCTGAAGTCATTACAAGGAGGATTTGAGATTGTTATTGCTACATAACAATAAAAGGTAATTCTCTAAACCCTAATTTCAGTTTATAATATGTTAGATCTAAGATTGTAAGTCTTGGATACATTGCATATACAATAGAGAAACCTAGATCCAAGCATTAAGGTTTGCACGAGGACATAGGATGTTCTTATGGCTAAAACCCATTAGTGGTATCAGAGCCTTGATTAGTTTCTATTGTATGTGATGCTATGTTGAATTAACTGAAAATTGAATTCCAGCCTTCTGTTCGAATTGACTCGGCGAGTCTGCCCTACTCGGCGAGTTCCAATGTGTGACTCGGCGAGTCGGAGCGTCAGACAGAGGGAATTTCAGATTTTATTGCTGTTTTGCATAAAGATAATTACCATATTCGTTTTAAACTTATAAAACAAGATTTTTAATGTTTCTTAAAGATTATCCTTGCAAAAACACAAGATAATTACGAATTGATTAGATAATAACTTCCTTATATGATTAAAGATTGATTATTTGTATTAATTGGGTAACTTATCTTGCAAGAAATTGAAATTAGGTCAAATATAGATAATGACAAAATTAATTATTTAATTTCTATTATCTGTTATTTGATCCTTGCATTGTGAAAAAGTTTCATTTGTGCCCATGTAAGTTTTATGTTTTAAATTTGAACTTCAAGGTTTTGTTTTGAAATTTAAATAGTTAAAACCCTAATGTTTTGAAATGTTTCAAAACTTGCCCTCAAGTTTTGGAATTTAAAAGTTGATTAAAAGTTTAATTTAGAAATGTTAAATTCTAAAACCCTAGTATTGTTTTTAACAAGTTCAATTCACACCCTTATGATTTTATTAATTAATTAAAGTGTATAATTAAAAGAGATTTAATAAATCCATAAAGTTTTGGTTTACAATTTAATTAAATTAAAAGTATAATTATTAAATTTGACCACCTAGTTTGTTAAAAGTGTAGAATACACCCTATACTATATATAACATTAAGAGTCTAGTATTATATATATGTATGAGTAAATAGTCAGTCTTACCGTTAGTAGGCCTCATTCACAAAGCTGGTCTATAAGGGGTGTTTAAGGAAATTGCCTATAAAATGGCGATTGAATGGGTATCCACTCTTACCCACCACACACTTGACTAGTGGAGGTTCCTTAGCCGAACTGCCACTTCCATTTATAAAGAAGACCGAGGTTAAAAGAATCCAAACTACCAAACATAAGACCTCCATGAGCATATAAGTTCAAAATCAATTTCCAATTAACCCAATAAATACAGTGTTGACCCTCATCCACTCCACAAAAAAACCGAATTCCATGAAATTACACTTTGTGCCCTTGCGAAGATGTTAGTGGAGCGTATGTGGTTAACCGACACACTAAATGGTTCTAAGCAAAGGTAAAAAAGTGTGACTCAATGTTTGTCATAGGTCGGTGGAGCGTGTGTGGTTAACTGGCACATCGAATAGGTGACTGTAACATGTGGGGGCACCATGTAAGTTTGCATGGTTATTCACACCCTGTTTTGTGATCCTGGACATCCCAGTCACAAATCGAGCGGAATATCGAGATTTAAACATGCCATTGAAAAGTTCAATGAATGTCGAAAGATCTATGAATTTTCAATAGATTTAAAACTTAAATTTCTTTTTCGTTTTTCATGGTGGAAATTAGTGAATCATCATTCACTTACCTTCAAATATTCTGCAACTAGATTACGACATCCCTTTTCTAGGTTGTAGAGTATTGTGTTGGGTCCTAGCCTTAATATCTTATTTGGGTGATTTATTAAGGACTCAATCAATCAACTAACTCGAATTTAATTTTTCTCCCGTTTTGTAGATGTCAAAGTATAACAACTATGGTCTTCCCAAATCCTGTGGAACAAGCCTTTCACATGAAGATGACATTCCACGATTCAATCGAGGAACACGAGATCATGCTTCACTTCCTCCATTTCCTCCTATTGTTCTCCCTAACCCACGAGTTCATAAGATTGAAAAATTAAAACTCACTCAAGCCCTTTTGGCAAGAAAACATGTATAAGGAAAGTCAGTGTGTGCACATGACCTAAAGATGAAGTCACACATTAATAGATTAAGAATGTTGGGATCTGTTGTCTGTGAGGAGCTGGCTGTTGATTGGGTTCTTCAGTCACTTCCTAACTCATATAGTGAGTTCGTAAGAGAGTACTATATGATGAGCCACGACATAACCCTCATCGATCTCACCTATATGCTTATTGCTGCTGAATTAGCAATGATTTGGCGCACTGGAAAAGCAAAGTTGATTGGTGGATCTGCCTTCCAGACCTTTATGGATATAGGCAATGACAACGAAAGGCATGCCATGATCGAAAGTTTGATCATAAGAGAAAGGCAAAGTCAGAAGTAGTTCCATGTGCTGTTCCAAAAGAGTCAATTTTCTTTTATTGTCAAGAGAAGGGGCATTGGAGATGAAGCTGCCCTATTTACCTAAGAGATCTAAGAGATAGGAGAGTCAAAATGTATGGCTCTACTTTAGTTAAATTCCATTAACTAACTCTTTTATGTTCCTATTCTAGATTCTTAATACATGATGTGATAAGATTGAGGGAAGAAGTGAGTGGAATCTAATCGTGAAGAAATGGATTTCGATCACATTACTTGAAGATTAGAATCTTGAGCTACTACTTGGAGTTAGAATAAGATTGCTAAGAAATATGTATTAACATATTTTTTGAATTAAATTGCATTGTAAGGACAAATTTTTTTCGTAATAAAATAAATTTTGATTTTATATTATTTATTTATCCTTGCAATGGCATGTATGAAAAATTAATATTTGTAAGCTTCTATTATTAGCAATAATGGATTTGATTCTTAATTATGTTATTTGTGGAAAGGTCAAGAATTTACCAAATAGGGAAAGTTTCTCATCGCCCAAGTTTCAATTGGATAGAAACTTGGAATCATACAACTTGGTTACATGATGAATGAAGAAATTTCATATTTAGAAATTAGACTAATTCATTGACAAAGTGTCAAGTGAAGGACTAGGATATCGAGTACACAAGGTTGTGTGTTGATCAAGTCCACCACAAGAGTAACAACGATATTC